TACAATGCATCAGATTCATTCCATTGGTACACCTGTAAAAGCTTTTAGTAAAAAATGTGCAAACCTAAAAATAAATAAGGAAAACTTGATCGTGCAAACCTAAAAATAAAGGAAGAAAACTTGATCGTGGTGCCCTAATGACTTTGCAAGGTGGGATTCTTTATCAACAAAGAACTGATTTCTTGCAGACCATATTAGCTATCTCTCAGCAATTTATACATCATTTGTGGCACATTTTTTGCCACTTTATCAATAAGCAGAGGTGGTGGTCCTTTCTTGATTACTCAGGTAAAAAACAACTGTGCACTGGCACTGCAGCTCAAGAGGAGCTTCTAACATTTGGCACATCAGGCAGTGCAGGAGTTTTTCTTGCTATGAAACCTGGCTGGGTTATATTTCATGGAAAAAATGCATGCAACTTGAATCAAAAGGAGGAGATTTGTATCACATTTTCGACAAACTTATCAGTAATTGCAGTAACAGACACTGCTAATATAAAACATATTTTGGAGAATTCCTCTAGTTAATGGATTCAAACTTTAATTGGGTGTGTAGAGTTCCAGGCGGGTTGTTGATTCTGATTATGAATGAAAACTTTGAAGTGATGCCATGTGCTGTGGAGTGATGTGTTCTGATTGGTTACATGTAACATTTCTTTCACTTGTCAATCAATTCCACATTTTCAAGGTGAATAATCAGTATTTTTGAAGAGGGAAAAATTTAGCAATATTTATTATTGGAAAACCACAAGGAAGTCTTACTCCAATTTGAATTTAACCTCACTTGACAGGATATATCTTGGCAATGGTTTACAGATGATGAGAATCAATTTGGATAAAACAGCTCACACATTTTTTCTTTGCACATCTTTTATCTATATTAATGAAGGGCTGTTGTGGTAAACCGAAACAGAAAGAGCAATATAAGGATCTTATGAAGAGCTAACCAATTAACAGAACTACGAATTAGACTGGCACTGTTTATTTGTTTCTAGAAATATGTTTAGTGTCATCATCATTTAAAAACACTAAAAATGTATCATATATCAAATATAAATGTTTCTGTAGACTACTATTTCATCTAGTTTTCACCTAATCTATCTTTGGTTGTAATGTAGACAGAAAAATAAAAGAATTGTCATCAATAAGGAGACAGAATGACAGATTAGCTGGTAACATCTCACTTGTTCAGGTGTGTTTTCTGTTTGTAGGCTGATGAGGAGAGCCGACGAAACCAGTTAATGAGGGATATGGCTCAGCTTCGCCTACAGGTAAAGGGGAGGACGTATTATGATTTCTATACCTTGTCATTAAAAGGTGAAAGAGTTCAGTTTTTGCATTGAACATCCAGAGGTTATAATATATATTTATATATGAATATGATAATCAGTAGTAACAATAGCAAAATATGTTTTGTCAACATGCATCAAAATACCAGTCAGATGTTTTTAATTATGGTGAAGCGGTTTATACATCAGATTCTATTATAGAATCTATGTCTCTGTACCTGTACATAAAAAGAAATTAAAGCTACCACGTTTATTCTCAAGTCTGATAAAACTAATAAAGAAAATATATGATTTTTTTTTTATCACAATTAACCAAATTAATTTCTTATTTTTTTAATTTTTAAATTTTCATGATGTTTTTAATACAGATCCTGACCCACACATTATAAACAGCTACAAATTAACACTGCAAATTAAGGAGTCTAATTTGAATCAACTAAAACCATGGAGCCAGAAATGACTAATGGCAATTTAAATGTTAATCCTTGTAATGAAATACAAATTTTCAGCAATAAAATAGGCCAGATGGTGATGTGCTTTTAGCATCAAGCTGTTCAGATTTGACATTACAGTCTAATTTGATATTAAACTTCTTTTAAAGAGAGGTAAAATAAGTTGGTGAAATTCATTTTCAGAAATCAAATTGCATAAATAAAAATATTTTGGTCATTTATGGCTACAAAGAAATATGTGTACAAAGACTAAGCATCGTCATTACACAATATTAAAAGTTTAGTAGGTTTTAGAGATCCTCATACTAAATATATTTGTTCTGGTTAAAGCTCAGGCAATTATGTATTCAACTCAGGTTATCTAAGGAATGAATTTAAATGCTATCCAAGTTGAACTGTATAACCTGGGTTTGGACTGTTTACACTTTTTAAACCAAAAAAGTGGTAAACCTTTCCAATCCAGTGTGTACAGTGTAACTTGGATAGCATTTAAATTCATTCCTCGAATAAATAACCAGAATTGGAAGAATAGACGAGGAACTTCAAATTTTAAAATGTTTAAAAAACTGAATGCTACATTTAAATGATCAAGTCATGAAAATTTTTGAAATGCAGGAATCCTTCATTATGTGTGAGCTCAATGTTTGATGCTTCTGGTTTTCTGTTGATCAGGCTGAGGTCAGTCAGTTAGAAGGGTCCCTGGAAGCCTCAGACACACCACACTTCCCTCCCTATTTGATCCCAGACACAACTTGTCTGTGTGACAGTCTACACCTGGTCAAACAGCTCACCCAGGGTGGAAAAGGCATTCTCATCATCCCTATCTCAGGTAACTTATCCTAAAAACTGATGATAAATCTCTATCTCTGGTAACATATCCTACAGACTGGTGACATCATCCTTATCTCAGGTAACTTATCCTACAGACTGGTAACATCATCCCTATCTCAGGTAACTTATCCTACAGACTAGTGATACCATCCCTATCTCAGGTAACTTATCCTCCGGACTGATGACATCATCCTTATCTCAGGTAACTTATCTTACAGACTGGTGACATCATCCCTATCTCAGGTAACATATCCTACAGACTGGTGACATCATTTTTATCTCAGCCAACTTATCCTACAGACTGGTAACATCATCCTTATCTCAGGTAACTTATCCTACAGACTGGTGACATCATCCCTATCTCAGATAACTTATCCTACAGACTAGTGATATCATCCCTATCTCAGGTAACTTATCCTCCAGACTGATGACATCATCCTTATCTCAGGTAACTTATCCTACAGACTGGTAACATCATCCCTATCTCAATTAACTTATCCTACAGACTGGTGATATCATCCTTATCTCAAATAACTTATCTTACAGACTGGTGACATCATCCCTATCTCAGGTAACTTATCCTACTGACTGGTAACATCATCCCTATCTCAGGTAACTTATCCTCCAGACTGGTGACATCATCCCTATCTCAGATAATTTATCCTACAGGCTTGACATCATCCTTATCTCAGACAACTTATCCTACAGACTAGTGACATCATCCTTATCTCAGGTAACATCCTACAAACTGGTGACATCATTGCTATCTCAGATAATTTATCCTACAGGTCTGACATCAACCTTATCTCAGGTAATTTATCCTACAGACTGGTGACTTCATCCTTATCTCAGGTAACTTATCCTACAGACTCGTAACATCATCCCTATCTCAGGTAACTTTTCCTGAAGACTGATGACACCATCCTTATCTCAGGTAACTTATCCTACAGACTGATGACATCATCCCTATCTCAGGTAACTTTTCCTCCAGACTGATGACATCATACCTATCTCAGGTAACTTATCCTCCAGACTGATGACATCATCTCTATCTCAGGTAACTTATCCTACAGACTGGTAACATCATCCCTATCTCTGGTAACTTATCCTCCAGACTGATTACATCATCCTTATCTCAGGTAACTTATCCTACAGACTGGTGACATCATCCCTATCTCAGGTAACTTATCCAACAGACTGGTAACATCATCCCTATCTCAGGTAACTTATCCTACAGACTGGTGACATCATCCCTATTTCAGGTTACTTATCCTCCAGACTGTTGACATCATCCCTATTTCAGGTAACTTATTCTACAGACTGATGACATCATCCCTATCTCAGGTTACTTATCCTACAGACTAGTTACATCATGTCTATGTCAGATAACTTATCCTACAGACTGGTGACATCATCCTTATCTCAGGTAAGTTATCTTATAGACTGGTTAGTTATTCTCATCATTCTTGTCTCTTGTAAGTTATCCTACAGACTTGTAAGGTTATTTTCATCATCCCTGTCTCAGGTAAGTTAACTTTGAGACTGGTTAGTTATTCTCATCATTCTTTCTCTTGTAAGTTATCCTACAGACTTGTAAAGTTATTCTCATCCCTTTCTCTGTTAAGTTAACTTACAGACTGGTTAGTTATTCTCATCATTCTTGTCTCTTGTTAGTTATCCTGCAGGCTTGTAAAGTTATTTTCATCATCCCTGTCTCAGGTATGTTACTTATAGACTGGTTACCTGTAAGTCGGTTTTTTGGGAGTTAAACTTGGCTCCAAAACTCTTTATGCGACTTATACGCGAGTTATAAATGAGAATGGTATTTAAGCCGGTCAATCCCTCTAATTGAAGCTTAAAAAATAGAACTGACTTATAGGCGGACCGACTTATAGGCGAGTATATACGGTAGTTATTCTCATCATTCTTGTCTCTTGTAAGTTATCCTGCAGGCTTGTAAAGTTATTCTCATCATTTCTGTCTCAGGTACGTTTACTTATAGACTGGTTAGTTATTCTCATCATTCTTGTGTCTTGTAAGTTATCCTGCAGGCTTGTAAAGTGATTCTCATCAACCCTGTCTCTGGTTAGTTTACTTACACACTGGTTAGTTATTCCTGTTTCTGGTAAGTACATGTAATTCATAGTCAGTCAGTGAAGTTCCTTGTTTCCTCTGTCTTGATTGGTTATCGTCAGAGGGATATTTTAAAAGGCATGCTGGTCACTTTCATCAAAGGATGAGTTTTAGAGTATAATATTCACCATGCCCTTGGGGTTTGGTGAATATGTACTCCTTGGGTAGATATGACATCATATCGACCTCAAAAACAGCAGTAATTGTGAAATTTTATGCTGTTTAAGACCACATTCTGTCTAAAATGAATCTGATTGATGGAAAAAGGACTTGGTCAGCCTTCTCTAGATATCAGATAGGTACCTTAGCAGAATCTGAGGTGTAATATAAAATGTTTTATGATTAATATTCATTAGCTGATAATTCCTATAGCAGTTGACTAAGTCAATTGATCAGAAAGCTTGTTTGATGTATAGAGCCTTGGGTCTAATATGTCTACTTTGGTTTGTTTCTTACAGTGATTGATACACTGGATGTCCTAAAGAAGGAGTCAGTGGGTGCTAGAGAGGCCATCAGGTGGCTGGAGTCAGAATTCAGAAAAGGAAACAGGTAAGTAGACACTGAGTGGGTCCTTGTATTGGATGGGTGGTATCTTCAGGTTGACTCTAAATGGGTCCTTGTATTGAACGGGTGGTATCTAAAGCTAGACTCTAAATGGGTGTCCCATGTAAAGGATTGGCTGAAAATGTGTGTTCCTGTGTTAAGTTGGAGTGAGTTCTTGTATTGGGTGGTTGGTATCTGTAAAGAACAAGGTACGGTTTCAATACAAATCTTGCCCTGTGTTTTTCTTAAAAATAAAAGTGATGTAAAAAATTAAAACTCATGCTTTTTGAATTATTGAAATTCCATGCAGAAAGATCATACAAATCTTTTTTCTCACATGACCTTCCAAATGCTAATTGTGACGTCATAAACTTGTGCATTTTCCCGTATTTTCTTAAAAAGTTGCAGAAGACACCAATTTTCAATGGAATTTTCTTTCAGATAATATTGTCCACAGGCATCGCCCACAAAGATTTTGAGATATGTGATTTTTCAAAGAATTTTACACAACATATCTAAAAATTAATGTGGGCGACGGCTGTGGACACTATTTACTTAAGGAAAATAGCCCTTGAAATGGGTCATTTTGAGGCTTTTTCTGTTTAAAATAGAGAAATGCATCAAATTAATGACGTCATATATTCAGAATGGTACTCCATCATGCTATATTCTTTCTTGATTTATTACAGTCATATACTCAACTAATATTTAAGCCAGTTTTAAAATTTTTTGAAAACATTAAATTTTTAGGGCACAATAAAGCTAAAACCATACCTTCTTCTTTACTCGTAAGTGGGTCCTTTTATTGGATGGTTGGTATCTAAAGGTAGACTTTAAATGGGTCCTTGTATTGGATGGTTGTTATCTAAAGGTATACTTAGTGGGTTCCATGTAAAGGACTGGATGAAAATGTTTATTCCATTGTTAACTTGGAGTGGGTCTTGTACTGGACAAAGCTGTTACTTACACTGTTTTGACTTTAAGTTGATTCTTATATTAGGCAAGGCTTTTATATAACAATAATATTTACTGTGTAGTCATAGTTGGTCAGTGTACTGGATAGTACCATTATCTGCTGGTAGCCTTTATGGGTCCATGAATGAAATGGTTTTATATGCAGTATAGGATCTGAGTTGGGTCTTCATATTGGACACGTGCTATACACTGTGTGGTCCCTACATTGGCTAAAACTTTCATCTACTAGCTGGACATTTCGATGATTCTCTCAATATCTTATGAGAAGATACCCTGCGAGTCCCTTAATGGATTGTTTTGTACTGGATTTAGACCTTAATATATTCATTGGCAGTAAAACTATCAAATAAGTGTGGCAATTGTTAAACTTTTGAGGTATGGTAACCATTTTATTGATGTTACTTGTTAGTATACCTACATATTTTTGGGGGATGGGTGGGTGCTCTTTTCTTTGCTTTCATCTTAATTGATAGACTCCTATTTAGCAAGATACAGTGAAGATGTATGCATTTCATATCAGGTTGATTTTTGCTATTGAATTATTTTAAGTATTGTTCATAATACTAAATGACTGGTAATGCTCATGGGTCTTTTTTAATGTGTTTAGTGGACTACATGGATTAGATTTGAATTATTTGTACTATTAAAGCATTAGTTGGCTGGCACCCTAGTTGGGATTAAGCAATAATTGATAACTATCTTGAAGGTGAATCAAAAAAACTGTAGATGTAAATTATATGAAAATAGAAATATGTGTGGGATAGCAGAATAGATGTCAGTTATGTAAAGGCCACACAATAAGGATCAAATGGTCTTAAAATGTTTAATTTCCTCTGAGCTTTTTTTTATGTGTCTTTGGGGACTGCAATCATTGAAAAAAAAATCTCTGTATGAATAATTGACCAAGTGAATGTGATAATTTAAGTGATGAGGCCTTAACTATTTGTGACACCTGAATGCACACTTTGGAGAAAACCTAATTGATTTGAAACAAAAGATAATTGGTTTTCTCCAGAAAGGATGTGGGAACAGAAAAAATCTGAAGGTTCTAGTTCTAAGTTTTCAAGTGAGCAGGTACAAGTTCACCATGCAAAATAAAGGAAAAAAGATAACCCATATTGCTTAATATGGTTTCCATTAGCATGCATAATTTGTATCTATTAGTGAGGAATGTGTCTGCTCCTTCAATCATGGAGATAGATAAATTATTAATTTATTTCTCCTTTGACAGATAGGGCCATTATGGATCGGATGATACTATCTTATTGAGCCGAGTCTATAGCTCTCTACTGTAGCATTATCAGCCATTACATGTTTATAGAAGGCAATAATCATATTGTTTACATAGCCCTTGTTATAACCAAATCAGGTTTGGACTCAGGGTGTTGACTTTTTTTGTTAAAGGTACATACGAGCACAGAAAAGCAATGAGAAAGTAGCAGATAATATACCGAAAAACCTGAAGAAAAGTAATCGTGACTTGTGGTGAGTGTGTAATAAATAGTTTGACTATATGATTTGCCACAAATATATTTCAGCACAGCATCATGGAATTTTATTTCAATATCTTTAATAATCAATATATCAAGTGTTTTTATCCTCAGCAAATGTCTATCTTCATATTACACACTGTAAACAAATTAAAATATTACATTACGTACACTTCATGCAAGAAATAACATCCATTTTATGTTGACATTTTGTTAAGTTTGAATTTAATCACTGGGTGTGGATAAAGATGGTAATATCACATAGAAGAGATATTTCATGGTGTTTATCATTAGGTCTGCATGTTATTTGCAAACAGTCAAGCCATTATACTAAGATGGTTAAGAATTAACTCATTTTGTCAGGATCTGTAATGTATACTATAAAAAGAGACAGAAAATAAATGAGAACGTACAAGTGGTAGATTAAAATTGGATGAAACTTTTAAGTTGAGTAATTACGCCATTAAAATATGCAAGAGTAAAATTGTTTAGTCCTATATGCTTTTGCAATATAGTGAGTGACTTTTCACACAACTTCTCTCCTTTGCGAGTTTACAACTAATATTTTGGTTTTAATTTGCAAAATAATCAACCCAGAACTAATTAGATACTGAAATAACATGCAATCATGTTTTCTTAGAAGTTAAATAATACTGAATCTTTTTGTATGTTTGATTGTAAAGACCAATAACTTTTTTTTTAGGAATCTGTATGAGATACTTTCTTGTGCAAGATACTTGGCTCAGCAGGGTGAAAATATCAGCTCTGGTCACATGGTGGCTGTGTTGTCTAGCAAAGACCTGGTCCGGACATCTGCCCCACCCACATTACACAAGTCTCTGGCTAACTGTCATCAGGATGGTACGATACTCTGCCAAAAGATGCAGTCAAATACCGTATAAGTGGAATTTTTAGTGAGACGCAAATTTAGTGATTTTTCCTTAAAAAAATCTGTGCATAATTTTAGCGAGAAGTAATTTTAGAGATTTTACTATGCCTAGAAACATAACACTCCATATGCGGAATGAATTCTTAGCGATATTCAGTTTTTAGCAATCTTAACACCCTTCGAAAAATGCCCAAATTGAATCCTTGGTAAAATTCTGCTTATACGGTAGGGATGCAACAAACAATAATTAAAATATTATAGTGTTCTTTTTAATAGTCTGAAAATCAGCATGAATGTGTAACAATATTAAATAAGAGCCCAGTATAAAGTAAAGTTGCATACAATAATCAACACGCCCAGTTAAATTTGGGATAAGGTGCAAGTAATTGAATAATTAAAATGCTAATTTTGCAAAGTATCAAGCCTGTGGTTTCAAGAAGCCCAGAAGTGCTTTCAAATGTGTACACTCTTCATAGAATTTAATGAAAAAAAAATTATATTCAAAATTTAATTAAAAACATCACTTTCATAAGTTCAGGTGATAATTTAATATGTGTTTGTCTTTCAGGGATTAGCATAGAAAAGATCTCTGCTTTCACCAATAAGTGGTTAGACACATCAAAAAGTAATGGCTGACACAATGCTGAAACAGGGCGTGATTCGCCAGGAGTTAAACTCAAAATGGGAAACGGATTTCCTTATACAGCATATGAAGAATTCACTGAAAAAAAATCTTCAGAATTAAATAATATGTGTGTTACATTGAAAGAGAATGAAATTCCTCTTGTTGAAATGTTTTTCATAAAGTGAGTAAATTTCAAGCACTTTGGAATATATAAACATATTCCAAAAGGAGGTTACACACAGAAATGCAACACCGGTAACACCATCAGTTCATAGTGTAAAAACTCCAATCACATTGTATTGGTTTGTGTTTTATTTTGTATAATGATAATCCATATATCTTACTACTGTTAATCATCTAGACAACAAAATTATCAGAAGAAGCCATTTTCAGGTCTTTGATGTTTCTTTTTTTCTTTTTATTAGCCAATCAATAGTTTCCCCCCCTGTTTTTTAGATTGATTGCTCTGCTTCAGAAATTTATTGTCAGTAATAATCTTGGCCTGTTTCAGTAATCTTTCCCTACCTCTTGTTGAGCATTCCACTATGTGCTTAGGGAAGAAACCCAAACTGCTTTCAAACAATTATGCAAATCACTGTTATTTTTTCCAATGTAAAATGCTATATAGCCAGAGGTTATCAATGTATAATCATAATAGAATATAATAGAATTCAGACTCCAGCAAACAAAGTTTGTTCTATTTAAAATCTGTGTTACTAGAATCTGTTAAATAGCAGGTGATTTTGGGAACTGCTAAATAAAAGTGATACTGTGTCTTGTGTTTTGTTGATTTGCTGTGTTGTAAAATACAACGCAACAAGAGTACAAAGGGTTTTTTTTGTTTGAATTTGTAGTTTTAAAGTTCTAAGCAACTAACTCCTTTAAACACAAATCTTTAGGATTGTACAAATATTGGAAATCACAAAACTTTTAACAAATAAAAGGAATTTTGACCACAGTGCCATTGTTGTATACACATTGGTGTGGTAAATAGATTACCCTTATCTCTAGAAAACGGAGGCACTGGTGTCGTCTGCGACGGTTGGGTGGAGTTTTCCGCTATTTCCTCCACTCGCTGGTTTCTTTGACAACAAGCAAAATTAAGGTTAAATGGTTCCTTTTCCCATATTCAAGTGAAATTGACTGTGATGTTATGCAATTTTTCCATCAGTCTGTTTTTATATTTAATGTTGCAAAAAAAAAAAAAAAAAAAAAAAAAAAAAACAAAAAACGCTCCTAGAATTTGCAAAAAAGAGGGCGGGAAAGCTAGAAATGTTCATCAGGTTTGATTGGCATCTATTTGGTTCGATGGTTAAAGCATTAAGATCACATTATCGACATAAATCTTATCATACTACTTGGATGGCGCCTGCAGTCATTATTATCTTACATTTCATGCCTCGGTACACGAAAATATGAATAATAATCAATCGAGATTTATCTTGAACCATTACAATTTTACTATTGTAGCAACGCAGTAGCCGACGTTTTTTCCCCATTGTTATTCTTGTTTTCTATTTAAACATCGATCTTTTTCTGCTACAGAAATACCAGGATGTGCATGCAGTGTAGAATTCCACACGCTGTTTATTCTTTTAAGGTTAAGACAGCTGTATTAAGAGTTTCTTTGATGCTGTAATTTAATATTTTTGCTGGGATTTTAAGATAATTTGGTACATAGCATCGATCCAGTATTTCTTTAGATTACTAATGCAGAACTAGTCCTCAGACTCGGGATACTATTTACTCTGTTTATTGATATTCATCAGTTCCTGCTTGCACAAAATGAGTACCAATATTTCAATGCAATACCACGTTTAGATGTATTAAAAGCGCTACTTTTATATTTACTTTTTCATTATATCTTAACGTCATTGAACACTAATAAGGTGTAGTTCTAAATATTTGTAGTTTAACTGTTTTTTTCCTTAGTTTGCTGTCTTAAAGGATATTGAAAATAGCGTGGTATTCGAATAAATGCTCCTAAACTATTATTTAACAACATTCGGTTGAAGACTGTGCATGTATTTTGTTCTGGTTAGCTACATTAATTTATCATTGTTTGTGGTTTACCAACAATAAAACTCTATATAATTTGCTTTTTGTCACCAAGATCCTCACGTATATATCTATAAATAGAACTTTCTAAATTCAACCACGTGATCTACCATAGGGCAAGAAATCACCCATCTTTGTAATTGGATCGCTAAAGAACACATTTTATAAACTAAAGGAACGTTTTAGGTATTCAAGATTGACTGTTGCATCTTTCAGAATTTTGAATTCCCATCTCCTTTTCATCACCATCAGAATGCAACACTGTACATTTTATATGTGTTTATTAAACATTGGAAAAGATGTACTGTGTATTTCATAAAGCGTTTGGGGAAGCCTTTGATAATTGATTGGCATCATTTCAATATATATTTTACATTCTTGATTTATTGGACCCAGATACTTCCTGTAATGTAAATTATTCCCACCACATTGTAATTTTAGAGCCAGGAAAAAAGATTCAAAGATTTTTGTGGCTTTCGGCTAATTGCATCGCACTTGTCTTAATTTTTTTTTTCTTAAGATATTAATTTATACCGTACACAGGTTGTAGATATCCAATGTAGTTTATATATTTCCCTCTAAAATACGCCTCTAATAAAACATTTTTTAAAGTAAATGTTGAAATAATTTTATTTTCTCACATCCATTCCAAGTCAACATAAGAGAAAGAATTGGAAATCGTGATCTCTCTATGCGTGTTATGTATATTCAATTGAGTTATCAGACTTTTTTTTCGTCATTTGTTGCTTTTAAAAAAAAAAAAAGGTTTTGTTGAGGTTTTAAGTTGCTATGGATACAAGATCAGGTGTTTGTTGATTGAATATTTGAATCCTCCACAGCATAGATCAAGGCAGCGAAAGAGGGGATGATGTTATATGTACGATCGCACCCTGTTAAAAAAAATGAAAATGTGTTATTTTTCAAACAAAAAATAAATTCATTATTCATCTTTTTTAAAGTAATGCTGTCAGATTTTGTATAATTTTACAAAATAGTTGAGAAAATGAATTCCAGAATGCACCAGAACCTATCAAAAAGGTACCGGTACTCATTTATAAGAATATTTTTAGTCTAGAGGGCTACTCCTCTGTCATATAGTTCCATGTATTATTTTGACTGAAACAACAGGAAACTCCTAAAAAAGGCTTAATCCTCTGTAATATCAAAAACAATACACAATTATACGCGTTATTGTGAAAAACTGCTATTCTTAATGACAAATAATTTTCCCACATAGAATGCTTCCATTTGTAATATGCTTGTGGTTTTCTTTATTTATTGCCACCGCTCATAAATGTTCACCAACAAGAACATTTAATTTCCTCCTTATTTTTGGCAAGATATAAAGAATAATTCTTCACGCATGAGTGAGTAAAAGTGCCCAAAGTAATTGCCCCTTGACCTAGTGATACTTAAGGCGACACTTTTGAATTCACACAAAACAATCCGAATGCTTCAACTGTCTTCTCAGATTCAGAATAAAGAAACCCGATATTGGCAACAATTATTCATGCAAGAGTGATTGTCCCATACCATTCGGGAGGATAGAGGGCGTTGTATGACTTCGTTTGAATGACACCTCATTCGAACCAATCAAACCTCAAAGAATCCTTCGGTATCATTTTTGAAAAAGTAACATTTTTTAAACAAAATTATTGTGATAAATAACGCATCATTTTGGCTTTGACTTCTATACATGTGCTTTGAGAACAAGTAATGAGCATAAGTTATGCTCTACGTAGGTAAAGTGTTCCGATTAATTTAAGGACAGAAACGTTAATACTTCGTGTGATACATTATTATTTCCATGCTGGTGATTCGACATGCATGGCTACACACTCGGAACAAATTAACGTTGTGTCTTATTGCGCCTGTCATTTAAGAAGTAATAAAACCCTTACGAATAACAGATAGTTCTAACTAACATCTGACATTTCATCGGTTCACAGCACATGAATAATTGTATTGTAGGAGCCCTCAACACACTGCAAATTAAAAGATTTTAGGAAACAACCGCTTGACGCCTGCAAGAAATCGATTGAACTTGTGCCATAATTAAACGCCATTGTTGATGATGTTGTATTTGCAAGGCCAAAATAATAATAAAAAAAGAATTTTTTTTTTTTAAAAATCCAACATGACCATCCAGATTGAGGAAAGCGGGTATGGATAGGATGTTTTATAATAACATGAACAGTGATGGATTCACATCGATGCAGTCTTTCCTTTGACGAAAATTGTCTTACTGAAATGTACAGTTTCAAAACAGATTGATATGGGTTGATTTGCATGACAATCTCTACAGTGTTCATCGAAATACATATTAATACAAGAATCGACAACTTTGAAAATAATATTCCCATTTTCATCCTTCTTATAAGCTAAACCAGATTCGTTCTCTTTCTGTGGTTACTTTGATCAGGGAAATGAAACCTAGATTAATTGTCCACGCCAGCGAAAAGCAAATGGACAAACGACACAGAAATACCTAGGGAAATCAGGTTAGCCATGCATTTATAATGCTATTTTATTAGTTGATGATATCTGTAGAAGTGCGTGTATTGTCGGGGATTCCAGATCTCTGCTGGTTGAAGCAAAATGAATATTTAATCATCAAGAATTCTAATCGATCACGTTCGGGACGGGTCAAGTCTTTGTTCTCAGTTGCACGAACTTCTCGAGAAACCAGTGTCTGAGTTAACAAGATTTCAGATCCTTATGTTATCCTCTCCTATCCAATCCAACCCCAGGGCGTTCTGGTTTATTTTTAGACAGTATACGAAATCCATTTGATTTCAACTTGAATACTTTTGCTACAACCGGCATTAATATGTTTGGGCGTGTAATTCTATGAAAGAAATCGACAAATTTAGTTGCTTCGGGCTTTCTCAATCTTAAAAATAGTTTTCACCTCTATTTGGAGTGTGAATAATTGAGGAGAGAAGAAACAAGATACATTTATTGACGGGGTTCCACGGCACTTTTTTTTTTTTTGTCAGTGGACCCGTGAAGCAAACTGTCTGCCTGAGGTCAAAGCACTTTGATTCGAGAATACAGGTAATAAATGTTTTGTTTTTACCACCTTTTACGTAAATATCGAATACCAGCGAATGTAAATTAGATATAGCTCGTCGACTCATGTCTGATGATCTCGCCGAAGCCGAAGATTAACGAACGCAAAGTAAATGTGATCAGGGACCTATATACTAACGGGATAGGCAACTCCTTCAGCGCCATGTTTATTTACCCAAAACCCTGATGTGATGACATAGCGGTCGAACATCTAACCCGAACGGCCAATTTTTTTAGACCACTCAGTAAATACAATGGAAATGTTAAACATTTCATAAAAGGGTTCCAAAGCATCTATGGTTTTTAGCTCACCTGAGCTGAAAGCTCAAGTGAGCTTTTCTGATCACCCGTTGTCCGTCGTCCGTCCGTCTGTCCGTCCGTCTGTAAACTTTTCACATTTTCAACTTCTTCTCAAGAACCACTGGGCCAATTTTAACCAAACTTGGTACAAAGTATCCTTGGGGGAAGGGGAGTTTAAATTGTTAAAATAAAGGGCCAAGTCCCCTTAGAAGGGGAGATAATCAAGAAAAGACAAAAATAGGGTGGGGTCATAAAAAAATCTTCTTCTCAAGAACCACTGGGCCAGAAAAGCTGAAACTTATATGGAAGCATCCTGGGATAGTGTAGATTCTAAATTGTTAAAA